CCCCTTAAAAAAAAAAAAAATTGAGCGCATCAAAATTTGCGCATGGCGCAAAGAGGTGGTATAGTCCATGAATACTCTTAAATGCTACCTGTAATGAACGCTCAGTTCACTTTATTAGCATGTCTGGCGTCTGTATAAATTGGGGATTTCGTATTGATCCAGACAAGGGGTACCCGCTCTGGGCGGTCTAGCGAGAGAGAGAGACGAGTCGACTCTAAATGATAAGTGGGGTATGAGACTGGAGGACCTTGAAACTCCTTTCGTTGTAATTTTGTGAAGATTTGCTCATTGTGTTCCCTTTCATTATCTTCTGGTATTGACATGTTGACTGGGTTTGATTGCAATAGTCAACAGCTACTGAGGGATCGCTGTGTTGGGTCTTTCCTTTTTGCTTATATGTCGGCAAACAGAGCTGCCCGGTAAACCGTAGGAAGAGAGGGAGAAGAGGACAACAAATGAGGGGCTGTGACAAACCGTTTCGTCGGAGTAATATATATATGACGATATATATATATATGACGATATATATACGATATATATATACTTTCACGAAACAGTTTGTCACAGCCCCTTGTTTGTTTTCTTCTTCTCCCTCTCTGCCTACGGTTTACCGGGCAGCTCTGTTTGATGATATATATATGAGGGTTCAGCCTCCTGATGAGTCGGTGAAACTCTGACAAAACAGTTTGTCACAGCCCCTCGTTTGTTGTCCTCTTCTCCCTCTCTGCCTATGGTTTACTGGGCAGCTCTGTTTGACGATATATACATCGCCAAACAGAGCTGCGCTGTAAACAGTAGGCAGAGAGGAAGAAGAGAACAACAAACGAGGGGCTCTGACAAACTGTTTATATTATTGTTTTTGTTGTTTATTTTTTACCATTTCTCGATTTATGCGTGTCATCCTTGCGCAGGGGCCATACTATTCCTTCTTGCTTATGTTTGTCAAACTTTGTGTGCATATGTGATTTGTACGATCTTGCAGTTCGGAGCAACACTGCCTCCTGGGCCTGAACTATACGATGTGGCGGCAAAAACGAACGTCAGTCTGCTGGAATGGCCCTGATTACAAACGGCCGGAGCCCTCTGCTGCACCTTGTAATTGCCAGCCTGATGATTATGCTTGGTATGTTCCCTCGCCCCCTGGAGCCAAAATGTCTGAGGATTTGGGAAGAATTAGCATGGTCGAATGTGGGCACACTATCCAGAATAGGGCCTTTTGGGCTGCATGTGGCTGTAATTTTGACTGGATGCATTCATGTAAGTCTCAGTGTGTGTATGCCCTGTCAGGGAAACCAAGAAGCATGTCTAGTTGTCTCTTAGAACAGAACATTGGTGATGATTCGAGTATGTATTGATTCATATCGATGCCATCATGTCGGTTTGAGCTTGAAATGAGGTCTGTGAACTCTTATTTACCTCCACACATTTCCACAGTTTTATTGACTGGGTGAAGTAGCAGTACATGTTTAGGTGCTCTTTAGATGCTTTCCCCGTCACACTGTTTTTTAGATCCTTTCCCTGTCACACTAGATCCTTTCCCCGTCACACTAGATCCTTTCCCCGTCACACTAGATCCTTTCCCCGTCACACTAGATCCTTTCCCTGTCACACTGTTTTTTAGATCCTTTCCCCGTCACACTGTTTTTTAGATGCTTTCCCTGTCACACTGTTTTTTAGATGCTTTCCCCATCACGCTCTTCAAGCCGTTTTTTTTTTAACTTTTTTATCCATTAAACCACCAGTACCACCCGGGCCTGGAGGCGCCTTACTGAGCGCCAAGCTTTTCCGAACCGCCAGCAGCACACTTTCTTTTTTGGCTGGCGCCGCCAGCCATTGTGGTCCAGTAGGCCCGAGCCTCCGAAATTTTTGTAGTGATGAGTTGCATTTCCACCAAGGCCGGGGCCGTGTACTGGCGGTTCAAGAAGCGTTTGTTGTAATTATCCAGGTGTCACGACAACATCCCTTGCCTTTTGCTTTTTGTTAAACCACCAGCACATGGCGTATTCCGAAAAGTTTGGAGGCTTGGGGCTACCGGACCAAAATGACCGGTGGTGGCAGCCAAAAGAAAAGAAAAAAGTGCCACGCTGGCGTTTCAGCAAAGCTTGGCGTGCAGGGAGGATCCGGCTCGGCAAAAAGAGCTCGGATGTACTGGTGGTTTAACGTACTACCCATGTGCCTACTCGCCCATCGATCATAACGCGGTATTAACGCCTTCTCAATCAGTCTGTCATCGGCCAAACCATCCATGGGTCTATCCATCCATAGTCATCCTCATGAATAATTCAACAGCACCTTCTTCTCCCCTCTTGTTTTTTTTTTTTTTTTTTAATCAATTTTTTTTTTCCTTCTCCCCTCACTTTGTTCTAGTGCGAATTTGTTGTTGTGTTACACCCATTGAACCATCCATCTGATCCAATTATCAACCTACCCTTCAACTGCTCCGTATGTTCATAGCCATGCTCATTCATGCATGTGTGTTCACGACTTCATGTCACTTTGTTGTTGCTGTGTTATTGCATTCTTGTGACACTTTTTTCGCTTTTGTATTCGGACCAGCGACTTTGGGATGGAATTTGACCAAGCTACTGCCAAATGTCAAGTGATCAATGGTTTCCGGAGGGACATGTGTCCGCTCGTGAACAATGGCTACTACACCTACAGCAAGTATGTGCTTCTTCCCTCACTCACTACATGTTTGGAACTTGTGAGCTGTGCAGTCCAATTGCTACTACTGTCTTCGCCCCCCGAATACAACGTACGGTCATTATAGCTGAATTTGGGGTATTTCAGTCCAAATACAGCTATAATGACCGTATGTTGTATTCGGGGGAAGAAGGTAGTTTGGGAGTTTGGGGTCTTCTTTATCCAGCCTGTTAGCATCAATCCGTTTCTTATTCCACTGTCAAGTCAGACAAGTTAAAACATTGTACACACCCATGCTCCTCCCCATTATGGCTGCGTGGCCCGAGTGGACGACATTGATTACTTCCGTCCAGAAGGATGTACCACCACCCCTTGCCCTTGCCTAAGCTAGCCTTTTGCTACATCTTCCTTTAGCCTTGAAACAGCTTCTCGCTGCGCAGTCTTCTGCTATACTAATAGCCTTTTCTTCTGACGGTTCACCTGCCTCATGAACCTTCGACAGTGAGGTCATGGGCTGACTGCCCTCTGGACCATGTTGTCGATTTATGCCCTGTCATACTGGTTTGAGTGCCGTTTGACCGATTCCCGCATTATGCATAGCTTTTTTTGACGGCATTCTCTTTTTTCTTTGTTTTTTGAAGGGTGACGACCGTGGGATATCATCATAGAACTGACCAGGCCCAGGTAATTGTACGGGACGTTTCCGACTTGAGAAGGATATTTCTGTGCTGAATTTTCAACCCGGCTCCTTAAATCTTTGGGCACACACACACACACACATTTACAGATCATAGGAAATCCACACTGGAGACCAGAGATGCAAAGTCCAGATACGTGCAGCTTAGAAATTCCAACAACTTAGAAATATTAAACAGTTAGCACAGAGTTCAGCAACCCAATTCCAGCGTCCTCATCCAAGGCTGGCGACTCTCTCCTTCCTCTCTCTCTCTCTCTCTCTCTCTCTCTCTCTCTCTCTCTCTCTCTCTCTCTCTCTCTCTCTCTCTCTCTCTCTCTC